CGCTTAACGACTGAGCCACCCAGGCGCCCAGCATCTAACTCTTGATTTCGGCTCAGGTCATGACCTCAGAGTCCTGAGATCGACCCCTGATTTGGGCTCTGCACTTAGCAGGAAGTCTGCTTCTCACCCTCTACCCATCCCTCTGCTCGCGCGCTCTCTCTCTTTAAAAACATGGGCATATAAATGGTCTTTAAAGTCATTGGAAAGCATACATTAATCAAAGGAAAAATCAGTCGATAAAGAATAGAATGGGTATCAGGACTGACTCCTGGGCATTTTAATATTTAGTAACTGAGAAGAGAAGGAAGGACCATTGGGGTAGTAGGAAAACTAGAAGAGTACAGTGTGACAGAACCCAAGGGAAGAAAATGCAACATTTCCAGAAGTCGGGAGTGATCAACTGAACTGAATGTTGCTGGGAGTTCAAGGAAGAACCCAAAACTGACCACCAGACTGGCAACATGGATGTCAGAAAAATCCTTATTTAAACTTCACCGGGTTCTCTCCCGTTTGGAGCACATAGCATTGACAATATATATCACTAAATTATGCAACTAACTGCATTTTCCCTTACCACACTTCAATCTTGTTTTCCAATCTGTGAATTTATCGAGAAAAGGCACCTTACACTTTTATACTTCTTAGCCCTTTGCACAATGCTAATTGGTACCAGCACATTGGGGTTTTGTTTTTATCTCAGTGATATGCTTTGGCTTCATCTTCTCTGTTTTGAATGTTAGATATTCTTTGTATCGTATAGTTATAAACCATTAATTATATTCACCCTTTTCTTTTCAGTATGTTTTTTTCTTTCTGCTATTAATCTCATACCCTAATAAAAAAGTAAATAAGAAAAGTAACTAAATAAGTAAATAATAAGTAGTTAAAACTGTTTTGGAACTGTGAAATTTCTGAAATTGCCAGATTAACTGTAATAACAAGTAACAGTAATCTTTTCTTGGGGCGCCTGGGTGGCTCAGTCGGTTAAGCGTCTACCTTTGGCTCAGGTCATGAACTTGGGGTTCTGGGATTGAGGCTGTGTTGGGCTCCAGGGGAGTCTGCTTTCGCCTCTCTCTCTGTCCTTCTCCACCCCGCCCTCCACTTGTGCTTTCTCTCTCAAATAAATAAGATCTTTATAAAAAATAGTAATCTTTCTTTTTGTAAAATTGTAAATTATTCCCACAATACAGATTAAAATAATAGATATCATGTACATTCTATACCTTGAATTAGTAGTATTAACATTTTATGATAATTCCAGTTGTTTTTCAAATAAATTTTATAGATTTAGTTGATGCCACTTTGTTCTCCTCCTTAATCCTGTTCTTTTCTCTCTCCCCCAGGTAATTATGATCTTCAAGAAACTGTATGTTCTTCCTGTGAATGCTGTTGTAAGTTTGAGATATATATTTGCTGTGGTATTAAGTTTATATAAATTGTACCATATTATGTACATCCTATCCCAGTTTGAATCAACATACGCTATTGCAGTGTTTCAACTTAATGTTACATAATTTATTCATGTTGACATTTGTAGATTTAGTCCAATTTAGTAATTCTAAGCCAGCATGAAATCAGAATTCATCTCATTTTTCTGAAAATACAAGCAAACAGTCTAATTTTAAGAAATGCCTTGGTTTTTAACCAAAAAAATTAAATCTATGCCCATCTACAGAGGAATGGATAAAGAAGATGTGATTGATATATATGTATAGTGGAACATTACTCAGCCATAAAAAAGAATGAAATCTTGCCATTTGCAATGACATGGATGGAGCTAGAGTGTATTATGCTAAGTGAAATAAGTCAGTCAGAGAAAGACAAATACCATATGATCTTACTCATATGTGGAATACAAGAAAGAAAACAGATGAACCTATGGGAAAAGGGAAGAGAAAAACAGGAGAGAGACTCTTAACAATAGAGAAAAAACTGAGGGTTTCTGGAGGGAGGTGGGTGGGGATGGGCTAGATGGGTGATGGGTATTAAGGAGGGCACTTGTGATGAGCACTGGGTATTGTATGTAAGTGATGAATCACTGAATTCTACTCCAGAAACTAGTATTGCACTGTATGTTAATTGCCTAAAATCTAAGTTAAAAATAAAAATAAAATAATTAAGTCTAATTTACATGCTAACACATTAAAAATTGCAAGTTAAAAGTCTGTTCTTACCTCTAAAATTCCTCAGTCCTTATTCTTGGGCTCCCAAACTCTTCTGCCTTTGCTTCTTTTTTCCAATCTCTGAAATACATACATACATACAGGCAGATAGACAGACATGTGTGCATACATACATACAAATTCCTTCCTCTCCCAATTTTCCATTTATTCCATTCCTGAAAGGACCCTGTGTACTATGGTTTATTAAGGCTTCTGAAAACTGCTAGCAAAGCTTTTTTTTTTTTTTAGGTGTAAGTAGGGGATTTGCTATCAATTCTACTCTGCCTGTGATCTTCCTTTCTTAGGGAAAGAAATGGAAAGCTGGAGAAACAATTTTTCAAAGAGTAAAGATTGATCATTATAAAACTTTTAAAGAATTCTACTGCAACTTAAATTCATTCAGGGATTAATTTAAATTTGTTTTGAATAATTCAATTAGGAATTAATGCATGGGTATTGCACTAAAACATTTCCATGCTAACAGAAGTGCTATATATACTAAGATACTAAGATATTAATATGGCATTTATATTATAAGATAAAGAAGAAATAAGGGGGAAATGACAGGTTATAAGAGTTACATGGTTACATTGGCAAGTTCACTTTATGAAAATCTGTTAGACACAACATTTTTCTTCAATTTATATATGTATGTACTTTTCTGTTGTCAATATTCTACTTCAATAAAAAGCGTTAAAAAGAGAGACATAAGAGATCGATCAACCTAATGCAATATGTGGATCCTGATTCCAATAAAAAGAGTTTTTTAGGCCTTTATTTGCATTTGAGGACATCTGATATTTGCTAAAATTAAGGAAATATTAGTTTTTAAGAGCAATAGTGGTATAGTAATGGTTATTTTTTTATATTTTTTGTATTTCAGAAATATAGGTAAATATTTAATGGATGCAATGAAATGTTATCTGGGGTTGACTTAAAGAGAATCCAGTGGGATGGAGCAAATAATGGGAAAAAAATTGGTCATGTGCTGATTCCTGTTAAAACTGGATTATATATATTTTGGGGTTCATTATACTATTTCTCTACTTATGTATGTGTTTGAATTTTCTGCAATGCAGTTAAATGTACACACACATGCACACACATATAAAGCTAAATTGACACTTCATTTCTCATGCTAATAATGTTTCTCCCTTACTCATACCATTTTTTTCTTAACTCAGTCATTTGGAGGAGAAAAGCAATCTTCTGGAAATTTTCATTACTCTTTTTAGACGCAGGATGGCACTGTTTGAATAAGTAATTAGCCAATGTCCACTTCTCATTGAATGAGCTCCTTTCCTTTACAATGTTGATACTTCCTAGGGCAGTTTGTCTTAGTTGAGAGTAAAAACTTTTCAGATAACTCGTAGAGATACTACTACTTACACCTTAACTTTAGCTTCCTGTGCTGGTTGTATCTATCTAATACCAGTTTTTTAAAATTAAGGATAAAGTTCACAACTATTTAAAGGGTGGTTTATGCAAAAACAGCTCTGTGCCCATTCTTACTTATTTTTTGTGTTTACAATTATTGCTAGGAGATTGGTCATCCATGTACTTCAATGCAAATACATCTATCTATCAATCACATATCATCTATCTCCATATGAATCCTCCTTATTTAAAACTGTCAATGCCAACCACAGGACGTATTTCTACATTTTAAATGGCACTGAGCCAAATACTACTGATTAAGGTCAAGATGAGGACTATAGACTATAGACAAAAGCTTTCCCTCGACCCCTCAGAAAGAGAATGGAAATAACTGTATTCTTGGACGTTCTCAGTCTGATTCATGCCTTCTTTTAGCCAACTATTCATGTATTCACCAGAAGAATTACACCTACTACCTCCGGTGTAGGAAGAAAAAAAAATGTCAAATGAGCAATAATGTTAGCAGAAGCTTGAAACTTAAGAGCGGGTATTCAGAAAGGTCCTCCTTCCCACCCCCTTCCCTCCGGTCCAATTCCCCTTTCTGGTTCTGGCCATCGGAAATTGACTTGGCGTTAACTACCGACTGGAATTTCAAGGCGTCAATACCCCGCCCCCCGGTACCTCCCCCCCCCCCCGGAGCTTCGGAAACTCTTCAACCTCTCCCTACCCTACACTCAACCTTAGAGACACATAAATGATGCAGCAGATTACACCGCTGAAAGGCAACATTTGTCCTGAGCTATTTTCAAATTTTTTCCTGTTTCCGATTTGTGTGCCAGACTTTGTTTGCTTGCTTAGGACATGGAAAACATATTTGGGCATTTCCCCCACAGTTTAATGCCAGTGGCTTTCTCCCAGCAAATGAAAGTGAAAGTGCTACGTTGTAGTGGTGTTTTATCCTTTAAAGTGTGGACGGGCAGCTGGTGTGTACGGAGGTGTGGGGGTGGGCGGGAGGGTGGGAGGGTGGGTTTGGGAAGCTTGAAGAACCAGTTTTGAGGTTTTGTTTATCTTGAGATCGCAGCAGGGTTCCTGTTTTTTTTCTCCCCTTTTTGGGGTCTGCCTTTGGATTTATTTTCATTTGGACAGTCATTGAGATTTCATTCAATGTACTGACTTAAAAAAATACACTCCACTTGTAGCTTTCCCGGTTGCACTTTAAAACACCATCCAGTCTCACCCTCATCTGGAAATAATGCAAGCTTCTCTCTCTTCCCCTGCTCCCTCTCCCCCCCCCCTTTTTTTTCTTCTTCTTTTAAAGCCCCACATAACCTGAAGTCGGTAATCAGATGGAAAATGCGCTGGTCTTAGTTTACTTTAGTCTACTTTCCCTGTTGGTGGCAATTTTACTTGTTGAGGTATATTGAAAAAACACAGGCATTTTATGCACATGAAGCTACTGAGTCTTGAAATCTGCCACTGATCAAAGTTTGCTATAAGTTTCCTCAAAGACACTTTATGTGCAACTTTTAATATTTTTGTTGTGAGGACTTAAAAAAATACACGGAGAGGACACTAGAGATCTTAACAGTGACATTAATTCATCTAAAGTCATTCATCCTCTCCCTCCCCCTTCCTTTTTCCAAGAAACAACTAATCACAAACCAGGCTAGAATTTCTAAAAAGAGGAGGAGGAAGAAAAAGAGGCGGAGTGGGGTAGGGGACTGAGTTTAGAAGGGCCAGAATTTCTCTCATTCACAGGGTGGAAAAGTTGACATTGTCTAAGCCCTTCTGAATGGCTGGTAGTTGGTTACCCTGATTGTACCTCTACCTCCCCTCCCCCTCCACGTGACGACCCAGGACACATGCGCACCCGACGCAGCCCGGCACATCTGCAGACTGACGTCAGTGTGCTCTGCCTCCGAGGAAAAGCTGCCAAAATTTTCTCCTGCTGCAATTCAAGTTGGCTGGGGGCCGGTAGTGAGATCTAGGGCTACTTCAACAAAACTTTGCTGCCCTTCCTGCTCCTCTTGTCTTCTTTTCTCTTGATACCTTTTGATGCTCTTCACATGTTATTTGCATAGCAAAGGCACTAAGCTGTCCAGGAAGAGAGGGCACCACTTCCACCCCCAATAAGCCTTTTTTCCCCCTTCCTTCCTTTCTTTTTTCTTTCCTTTTTTTTGGAGAGGGGGGGTCGAGAGAGAAAGGGGGTTTGCAAAAGCAGCATCTCAGGATGATAGCCTGGATGTGTTGATGGCATCTCTTTTATTGCCAAATCGGAAAGTCGGTTCTCTAAAGCCCAGTTTAGCCAGACTATAGGGTTTTATTCTGGCTGCAGAATAAGTAACTGACTGCTGTGGCTTTGCAAAGGGGGGCAGAAAAAAAAAAAAAAAAAAAAAAAGAGGAGAGAGAGTACGTGAGTCGTCCAGTGCAATCTCTATTGTTTGAAACTTACTTTTTATCAGAATTTGAAGATGAAAACGGTAAGGAAGACTTAACAATATTCAATGAAACCGTTTTTGCTTTTTTTTTTTTTTAAATTAAAACTTGTGCTTTGCTTGTCTTCCGAATAACGCGTAGAAAACTTTTTCTCTGTGTGTATGTGTGCGTGTGCGTGTGTGTGTGTGTTTTTAATGGCAATGAGTGAGCTTGACTGAACTCATTTTACAGATAGAAATCTTTTTAACTCCAGACTAGTCGGGGTTGGAGAAATCTGGGTCTTGCAAGTATTTTATGATGCAAAAAATACACGTTTATTATACGAATAGACATGTTTTGTGAAATATGACTTGATTATTATTATTGTGGTCTTTTAACTAATCACCAAATAGTAATTGGGAAAGTAATAATGATATATATTTTAAACTGATTTCTAGTTTTCTTAAAGGAAAACCTTCTGCTTTTTATAGTTTCATGTCAGTGTCTTAAGTAGTCAGACAAGTGCATATTTTATGCCTGGGCTCAGGGCAGAATTAATGTGCTAGCTATAGCCCCGATGCTCTAGGATATGTTAAGCTTTTAATAGGCTAATCAAAGAGATGGAAGCGTGTGTTTTTGATTTACTTTTGGCCACTTGGGACGACGTGCTAGACTCATAACCCTCCGGAGCCTTGAATATCTGGGTATGTCTGTATATATGGTATATGGGATCAAAGTTCAGGGATTGGGGGGGGCAGTTGGGAGTGCTGGAGGGGTTTTTGGAAAGCTGCCTTCTGATAATGTGTACTACAATTCCTGTCTTTGGTAATTTCTTTCCTTGTACTAGAGGCAAAGAGAGTGAAAAAGCGCACTGAGAGGGAACAAGAGAGTGAGTTTCTTACTCTTGTTTTTATTTGAGCTGCCGGTGCAACGCGTTTGGGCCAAATGCCAACTGTCTGGGTCACACGCGTTTTATCCAAATAGATTTAGCGCTGCTGTCTGGAAATGGGCTGCTGAATGTTAACTTTAGGATCAACTCAACCAGGGCAGCTCAGACTGTTACCCTCTGTCTGGGTGAAGTAGGATGGGGGGGGGGTGGTGCAGAATGGAGGAGGAAAGGGGAAACTGAACCATAAAAGACACTGTAGTGTGATTTTCAACATATTCTTTTATATTCAAATTTCTTGTGGTAATTTTCCTTTCTTTCTTTCCTTTTTTAGCTTATGTTGATTAGACTAAAATGTAGGAATGACAGTTTTTAAAATTCATGACAGGGAAAGAAATGTAACACAAAACTGGTGTAGTTGAAGGAAATTAGGAAAATTAATTTTGGAAATAATTGTTTTCCTGTGTTTCACCAAAGCGGTAACTGCAGTTCTGGTTTATATTAATTTCGTGCTTAAGTGTGATCATTGGTGTTTTGGATTTTTGTAGAATAGCATATAGAGGCAAAATAACTTGATTTCAAACAAATCAAACTCATTCATCTGCCACAAATGGCAGCAAATGAAAGCTGTCTTGTGGTACTAATATTTTTGTGATGCTCAAGGGGAAAAACCTCTAACCTCAAGACCTGAAATATTTTAATACTTTTCATGTCTGGGCCAATATGTGTAAGATTAATTTCTACTCTTGTCTACTCTTACCACTTCCTCTTCATTTCCTTAGCAACCACTAGTAGCTACTAGTGGTTTAGGGTGGGCCTTTATGCCAAATCCCACCCTGTGTGTGACTTTTATGAGAAAATAAAGAGAGTTAACATATTAAAAAAGTTAATAGCACCTTATTGGGGGAAGAAGAAAAGGCAGAAGAGGTGGATGATTCTCTTGGTTCTACCAAAAGACAGTTGGTTATCAACATTTTGTAATAGCCTCAGAAGAAAAAGGTGTTTCTGCTTTTCAGGAGAGAAGTTATAATACAGATAAGGTATTATACTTGCCATCTGGAAAAAACAGTTTGGGACTATATGTAATTTGGGGCTTGATTTTTGTAGAATGATGTTTTGTATTTTTGCTTTGGGCTCCTTTGCTCTTCTTTATAGGTGAGTTTTGAGTGTTTTCAACTACACCTTGGGACACTAATCTCACAAAGTTTATAAATGATCTGGAAACCTTTGTACTTACAGCTTAGTAGTGTTCTTGGCATATAGTAGGTGACACTAAATGTTTGTTGAGAGAATAAATGGCAAATGAAATGAGAATTTAATTTTCATATATAAAAGTAAAATACGTGAAGGGAACACAGTATTGTTGCTTCCTCTGTGAAGACCAAATCATCCTTAAAATAAACAACTGGAGTTAAGATGGATGAAAGAAGTTGAGTAGGATGTTATACATGTTCTTTAGCTCCATAATAATAGTTCATGAGAGGAAATTATTACCTTGACTACTCCCAGATCACTTGAGTAGGAAGTAAAGATGATAGAGGAAAAAGACAAGTAAGAACCCTTCAACTAGGGAGACTACTTGAGGCAGTAACTGTAGAGCAAGTTGTCTGATCTTATTTCCACTTAGCTAGTGTACCTTTGATCCATGGAAGCAGGTAAATGATCCCTTAACTTTACTGGCCGGTACATTTGTATTAGGAAAAAAAGCATATGTGAAATCAAAGTAAAATGGAAGTTTTCAAATTTAAAATATTTGTAAGACCAGTTATCATGACCTAAATTCTTTATTATTTGCTCTAAAAGACAAGACAGTGTTATTGATTGATTCCTGTCATCATATTTAACTATTCCACATTTTGGGGGGAAGGAGGAACATGAAACTATTTTTGAAGGAAGGCCTTTGAAAAGTGATGAGTAAGATAAGGAGGAGAGAGGGCTAATATTTCCTTAGCCATTAAAGTACAGGATGCAGACACTTTACATCATGTGTAATCTAATTTAATCGACAAGTCTTTGTAAGGTAGATACTACTATCCTGGTTTTATTGATGAGGAAACACATCCAGAGAGGTTAAGTAACTTGGAGTCAAGCCAGGACTCAAAGCCTTTATCCATTCCACAATGTAATAATGCTTCTCCTATACAATGTAAAGAGTTAATACATTATGATTTATGGACAATTATATAATATTTTAATGTTGGTTTGAATTATGGAAACTATGTTTGAAAAAGTCAGTGTTTATACATATTTCTTTATAATATCCAGATTAACCTCTTGAGCAGGTGTCAGAAAGTAGGTTAACTATTAATTTTTATTGTGTAGGTAACTAAGAGAGGTTGATATGTTAGTTGTTGTTGATTTTAGTTGACCTGAGCCAACTCATTTACTTATTATTTAAGTTCCTTCACTGGCACTGGAGGATTGAGAAAAAAGTGGGGAGTGAGGGAGGGTGTGAGAAAGGAGAAAGAAACTCAAATTTATTGAGTGCCCATGTGCCAGATACTATAGCTAGTGGTGGAAACAGGCTTTGGTTTAACTTTAAAGCTCCTGCTCTTTCTATTATGCACCAATGCCACTTTTTACTACAAGTCCTTAAATCAAATGTTAGTCTACTTCTGGCCAAGTAGTTACATATTACTTTTTCTCTCAATGCTACTGGCTTGCTTAACTTGGGCGTTTACTGGACAGTGGTAATAATTGTAAGAGTGGAGGTTACAAAACTGAAGAGCAGGAAATTTTTTAAGGGGAAAATAGTTGTTCCCTAAACCCAGACAACTTTAAGTTTGTCATTAGTTCCAGAGCCCAGGAAAATAGGAAAAAAGGATGAAGGAGTCATATAAATATATCACCACTAACAGAAAATGACCTCTAATGTGTTAATTATATGTTCTTCTTTAGAGGAAGATTAAGGTATATGAGGGACTCATTTAATGTCAGACATTATTATGCAAAACACTCAAGTGATCTGAAGAGTGAATTTTGTTTATGAAGTGACAGTTACACTTTAATATCTTATGGGAAGGTTTGGAATATGGACACTGTATGTAAGTTGGTTAGGAATCAAGATAACTGGATTCTTTTCTTTACTGTTATTAACTAATGGTGTGACTTAAAAGATTTTTATAGATTTTTGCCTGACTAAGCATATGTCTTGCCTAAATCATTGTGGAAATAATTTTGAGATGAAACAATTATAGTGTGTAAAGTTGCTTAAAACTCTTCACATTAATTAATTTATACCATTTATTATGAATATATTATTTGACAGTGGTTACATGGGACTACTATTGAATATTTAAGTTAGAGTGCCTTAAACTGGAAGTATGATATGGTAGAAAGAATTTAGACTTTAGAGCCAGATGGCCTTCTGTATGACTCTTGGCTCTGCTATTTTCTAGCTGTCTGACCACTATGAGTTTCAATTACCTTATCTGTAAATTGGGAGCTGTATTGTTATCAATTCTTGCAAAAAAAAAAAAAAAAGTCACCATAGACTTAGTGGCTTAAAACAACACACATTTATTATCTCACAGTTCTCTGATATAGGAAACTGGGCATGACGTGGCTATCTATATCCTGTGCTTTAGGGTCTTTAATGAGGCTGCAGTCAAGATGTTGGCATGGGCTTAGGTCACCAAAGAATGCTCGACTGGGGAGGGATCTGCTTCTAAACATATTAATGGGCAGGGTTTGGTTTCTCACAGGCCATTACATTGAGGTCCTTAGTTCCTTGCTAGTGGTTATCTGAAGGCTGCTCTCAGTTGCTTGCCATGTGAGCCCTTCCATATGACAGCTTGCTTCATCAAAACCAAAAGGGAGAGAGTCTACTAGTAAGATAGAAGTCAGAATTTTTATAATCTAATCATTGAAGTGACATTTTCTCAATATTTTATTGGTAACGTTTCTCAAGTTACCCAAGGGAAGGGAATAACGCAGAGGTGTAGATATCAGGAGGCAGGCTCATTGGGGCCATCTTAAAGGCTGCCAGACATAAGGGCAATAATATCTACTTTATAAGATTGTTGTGAATACTAAAGAAGTAATATATTTAAAGTTCTCTTCATTTTTGGTCTGACCTTAAACTAACTTTCTAGATATTGCCTGTTAGTCTTCTCCATAGGAACCAAACTTACTATTATTACTAAAATGATTTTTCATTTTTTTCTTGCTATCTAGACTTTGTAGAATCTATTTCTTTAATTTGCAATGATTGCCCCTATCAATTTGAACTGTGAAATTGTGTTCATCTTCCAGAGCCTATCTCAAATGCCACTTTTTAAATAAGCTTTTCTTGACCCATCCTTCTCTGATTCAGAAGTCATTTCCCTCAGCTGATCTCCTCAATGCCTAAATTTATTACGGCAAATGTCAGTCTGCCTTGAATTTTTTTCTTTGTTGCTTAGATTATGAACTCCCAAAGGGCAAGGATTGTGTTAATCTTTTCTGTATCCTCATGTTGTTATAACAGCATTTTAAGAACATAGTAAAGCATATTTGTTGATGAATTAATTTTTGGATGGAAGAAGTTTTAAATGGTTGTGGTTGCTTTGTATGTTGTAATAACCAATATTTCTAACACCATAGGGAATGAAGTATTCCACACAAATTGATTTTCCAATTAACTACAAATATCTTTTTATATGCCTAAAGTGATTTTCTTTTAATCACTATTCATTCATTTACTCATTTTTTTAACCAACGCATATGTAAACATTTATTATATAATCCCAATATTATATATTGGGGATGCGGTATGAAAATCTTTCTAGTACTTTTTGTGTACTTCTCTATATTAGTAGTAAGTTATCTTATTAAAAACAATTTAATCTTTTATTCCTGACTCAGGCAGTATTTTGAATATCAGATATTGAGCTATAACACAATGGGAACTGTCAAGCTATTTAAGGACCACTTGCCTGTACCCCAAACTGTATTACTTTAGGGTTCGACAGCTGATTTTTAGTTTGTCTTTCTTTTTTTCAGTTTTTTGCTGTTAGTGATGTAGTTTCTTAGTTCCTTTGCTCTTTTCTTCTTCTAAAATACTATGTGCTGGGAAATCAGGTAGTCACATATGTTAGCATTCTGTATGAAAAGTAAATTCATGGACTGTGAGTGAGGGAGGTTGTGAGTCAAAAAGAAAGTACATGAGATAGGACAGGAAATCTGTTGTGATACCTGAAATGAATTTTTGAAAATTCTTTTCTTTTCAGAAAATGAATTTCTTTTCTTATCAGTACATTCTAGATAGTTGAAGTTTTCTCATATGTGTTGCTTTTTAAGTCATATAAGACTTACAGATGAAATCAAGGGTTTCAGTAAATATGGTTTAAAGTTTTAGAAGTTTAGTTTGTGCTAGTGTCTGAGTGTTCACAGACAGCTGCTAAATGTCATTGTATATTTGTAGATATACTCTAAGAAAAAATGATGAGTGCCTCATAAAGCAACAGATCAGTCTTGAATATGAGTGTTCTAAAAAGCATGTTAGGGAATAGGATCATACTCTGTTTATCCCTTACAGAAAATGAATTTTGATTGTGAAGTCATTCTACCTTTTATTTTATCGAAAGGTTAGTCACTGTACCCACACATTGTTTTCTTCAAAGTTTAAAAAAAATAATTTTTATGATTCCACTTCAGATTCTTTCTTTGATTATTAAGTAGCTTTGGCATTAACCTCCTTACCATTTAGGTTTCTGATTGTTTAGTCTTGTGAATGTTTATTTAGACTATAAAGAACAACAACAGTCTAATTTAACTATATTAAATCATTTGTAGTCTTTGTCTTTTGGCAAGCATTCAGCAATATAGTTCTGTCCCTACAGGATATTTTTCATTTAACATAAATTTTTTTTTTGTTTTTCTAGGTTAAAAAATGGCCATACTTTAGTAACTAATCAGCCAAATGCTTTGCTTATGAAAATTTTACCATCATTCTTTTTTCCCTATTGGATTGAAAAAAATGAATCCAGATATAGAAGAAAGTATGGGATGTTGGAAAAAAGTACCTGTTAAACAGTGGAACATCTAATAATTAATTTGCAAGAAATTTTAAAGAAATAAAATTGTTATGCTTCGATTTTGGTATGGTATTGACTCTCTAGCACATAGGTAGCCCTCCAAAAAAATCATCCAGTTTTCTAAATTATGGAAATTTTGTGGAAGACGTTGACCTGGATTTTGAGCCTCATCATGGCTTCATCGGAATTTCATAGTGACCACAGGCTTTCATACAGTTCTCAAGGTAGGAATCCTGCTTTTGAAAGTGACAAAAAACTATTGCTATTAATTTGACGAGAAAAGATTCTGAATATTTAGTTTGGGTGAACATTTTCTTTGGGATATGTAGTGATAGGAGTGGAGGCCAACTGCATCAATTCAGTGCTAGTTTCATAAATCTTGAGGGCTCTAAGTAGTCTAACTTGTTATACTAGTATTTAATATCTAGTGTATTTTAGAGTTGACTGGTCTTTCTCAGAAGATGATAGACCCGGACCTCTTCTTCTTTTGAATCCTAAGCTTTAATAAGCTCATTTGTTGCTAAGGGTTACAGGCAAGGTCATGTTCAAAAGGAATCCAAGGGTTTATGTTATAAAAGAGCAAGAAACTGGTACATATTCTGATACGAGATCCCTCTAATATGGACCCTTAGTGAAAAAATACTTTCCAAACTTAAGAATTCTGATATAAGAACTAGAATCTGAGTAAAAGAGTGAGAGTGTTAAGAAGTTCAACTTCTCAAACTCTAATCCATGGGTCCCTAATTTGAATCCATAGAATTGAACTTTATTTATTTATTTTTTAAGATTTTATTTATTTATTTGAAAGACAGAGAGACAGAGATAGCAACAGAGAGCAGGAGCTGGGAGGAGAGGGAGAAGCAGGTTCCCCACTGAGCAGGAAGCCCGATGGGGGGCTCTGCCCCAGGACTCTGGGATCATGACCTGAGCCAAAGGCAGAAGCTTAACCGACTGAGCCACCATAGAATTGAAACCAGGCGCCCTATAGAATTGAACTTTATATCATAGAAAATATCTTAACAGAGATCCCTGGAGTGAATGACATTTTGTTTTCCATGGACATGTCCAATCCTTATAGATTTATTAAAATACCTTTTTGATTGCCCTCCCATGAATGTACAGTAACCAATAATATTTTGGTGCAGATGAGCCAGATTTTCAAGGCTTTTATACATTGATGTATATGTCTGGAAGTCTATATGTATAAAATGTGGCTCTCAAAGTTTAATAAAGCTGTAGCATTTAGTATGAACTCTTATTTATAAGAAGTGAAATAAATACTGTCTTTTAATTTATTTATATTTGGTCATACTCTCATGGGAATTTATATTTGTCGGAGAACTCCATGTATAGACAGTGAGGCAATGGACAGACATTTGGTTTCCCTTAGTGGTAAACCTCACTAAAGGAAGATGTGGTTAAGAAGGTAGATTGGAAATATTAAGTATACCCAAATGAGGAAAATATGTGTAATAATCCTCTAAATTTTTTGTCAATCTAATGTTTTTTAACAGCTTTATTGAGATACAATAAACATACGATATAATTTACCTATTTAAAGTGCACAATTCAGTGGTTTATAGTATATTTGCAGAGTTATGCAAACATCACCACAATCAATTTTAGAACATTTCAACACCCCAAAAGAAACCCTGTGCCCATTAACAGTCACTCCCAAATTCTCTCCAAACCACTCTCCACCCCAGCCCTAAACAGCCTTAATCCACTTCTGTCTCGAGATTTTCCTATTCTGAATATTTCCTACAAAAGAATCATATAATATGTGGTCTTTTGTGATTGATTCCTTTCACTTAGCATAATGTTTTTAAAACGTTAGATAATGAACTTTAATAATGAAGGCAGTTATTATGAAGTTTCATTCATGTCATACACATATCAGTTCTGTGTAGAATAATATTCCATGTGTGAATAGACCACATTTTATTTATTCATTCATCATTTGATGAACATTCAGAATATTTCTCCATTTTGGCCATTATGAATAATGCTGCTATGAACAGTCATGTACAACTTTTTGTGTGGATATGTGTTTTCATTTCTCTCAGGTAAATATCCAGGAGTGGAGCTGCTAGGTCGGGTGGTGGTTCCATGTTCAACCTTTTGAGGAGCTGCCAGACTGTTTTCCCAAGTGGCTTCTGTATTTTCCATTCCAGCTGATGATTTAAAAAATATTTCTACAAGGCTGTAGAAATTCGATATTAACTCCTTTGGAAAACTTTAACAAACATATTTTACCGGAGCTAAATTCTATTATTTTAAATATGTGTACTTTTCACTGTTTTTTTAATTTCACTATAAGATATTCATATTTCCTATAAGAATTTAGCTTTTAGAATCCAGTAAGAAATAAATATAAAAAAGAAAAATAGTCTTCCAAACTAATTTTAAAATAATGCTATTTTGAGAAATAATTGGAACATAATTCATCATTAGATTTTAAGCTTCATTTTGTTTAATATAACAGTTTTTGTTCATACCTCACATATAATGATGCTGATACAGTTTTTGTTGTTTATACTGCTACTTCTTTGTTCTGTTAAATTTTCTTTTCTTCCATGTGTTTTTTCTGGATTCTCTGCCTTGTGATTACAAAGAGGAATTCCTGACTTATCTAGAACACTACCAGCTAACTATTCCAATAAGGGTTGATCAGAATGGAGCTTTTCTCAGCTTTACTGTGAAAAATGATAAACACTCCAGGAGAAGACGGAGTATGGACCCTATCGATCCACAGCAGACAGTATCTAAGTTATTTTTTAAACTTTCAGCCTATGGCAAGCACTTTCACCTAAACTTGACTCTCAACACAGATTTCGTGTCCAAACATTTTACAGTAGAATATTGGGGGAAAGATGGACCCCAGTGGAAACATGATTTTTTAGACAACTGTCATTACACAGGATATTTGCAAGATCAACGTAGTACAACTAAAGTGGCTTTAAGCAACTGTATTGGGTTGGTAAGTAGATGTTATAATTTTTAGTTTCTGATGGGGAAATAAATTCACAATGTAAATGTCTTTCCTCACATTAATAATAGGTCACCCATCTATTCTTTATCCTTTATTAAGACTTTCTGTCTCTTGCTCTTTCCCTCTGTTTGTTAACACCTTTTTGTTTTACTTTGCTTTCTATTGAAACTGCATGGCCCATGTTGACTACTTTTGGTTTTTTAAGATATGATGTGCCAGGTTTGCCCACTGAAGTTACTGTTTTCTCTTTGGCAACTAATAAGGAATTTGTGAACAGATACTTTGAGACTATGTAAATACTCTGTTCCTCATCACACTTTTGCCCACCAGACTTAGTAACTCCTGCCTTTATTCTTATTTTGTTTTATGTTTCATTTTTAATCAAATGTAATATGTAAACATGTTTTTTTAAAAATCCCACTTTTCAAAGTGCCCCCCCCCCACACTTTTTTAAGTAGGCTCCACACCCAGTGTGGGGCTTGAACTAATGACCCTGAGATCAAGAGTCATATGCTCTACTGACTGGGCCAGCTGGGTACCCCTCAAAGGCCCTTTTAACCAATTCTATTTATAATTGTTCTATATAAAATAATTTCAATGTAGAGATAATTAGCGTTTTCTCATCATAATTCCTCACCCATTGTTTCAGCATTACAAGCCTTGCCCCATTCAAAGGAAAAGACTTCCTAATATTAATTACTGTTTGTCAGTTGTTCAAAATAATGTCACATTTTAGTTTGCGTTATATTTGAACCATGGCTTTCTTATCCAGGTTTTGTATTTCTGGAGTTTCTAATTACTGTTATTTTTGTCTTATTGTGAAAAAATGATTTTTTTTTTTTTTTTTACCAAATGTTCAGTATTATTCATTTCCTTAGTCTTTATATCTGTTGCTTGGAATATATTCCATTCTTCTTTGGAGGCATTTTTTTTTCTTCCAATCTATTGGTTATTTTCTTGAGCTATTGTACATCTCTCATCTTGGGATTCTTTTTTCCTAGTTAGTTCTACATCCTCCTCTTTCTGAGTTTACATCCTTGTTTTATTGGAGAATATCTTCAAGTAATTATGTCAGAAAATGTGTCTGAGAAGTAGAATTTCTGAGTCCTTACCTATTTGAAAGTTACTTTATGTTGCCCTCATATTTGGTTACTAATTTAGCTGAATGTGGAATTCTGGTTTCAAAAATCATTTTCCTTCAGAACCATAGATGGTGGAATTGGGAAAGGGAAACATGGGGCATCAAATTTATGAGTATGGTTTTATGTCTTAGGGAGAAATTTAAAGATCTTTTAAAAAATTAGCATTGATTCATTTTGGGGGGGCAGATAGAAGTCTGCTTCTTGTTCTTTTCTTTTTTTTCCTAAGATTTTTCCTCAATGAAAGTGATATGATCTTCTCTTTATCCTTCCTATTTCAAGAATTTTATAATAATGTGTTAAGCTGTGGATCTTCTTTCCTTATCCTTATTTGATATTTAATGGATGCTTTCAATGTAAAGACGCACCTTCAGCTTAGAGAAATTAAAAAAAATATATTTCCTTAATAATTTTCTCTTCCTGTTCCCCACCCCCTGCCTTTTTGTAATTGGTTCTTTACTTCCCTTGTCTTTCTCTTTTTCCTTCTTTTTCTTTTTTGTTCTAAGTTATGTGAGATTTCTCCAACTTTGCTTTCTTTTCCTTCAATTGATTTAAAAATTACAAGCAGTCATACTCCTGATTTTCAAGAGATTTTCCTTTTTGATTGTTCATTTCTTTATATTTGGTTCTTATTTCTTAGTTATGTCCATAGTTCCCTTTCTATATTTTCCCTTGTTCACTCATCCATTCACCAAATACTTATAAGTACCTATATATAATAGGCAGTGCTAGGAGTACAACCGTGAACAAAAGAGAAATTCCTGTCATCACAAAGCTTACATTCTCGCGGAGGAGATACACAATCAGATAAATAAAAATCACAGTATGTTGGATAATGATAAGTTCTAAGGTGGAAAAAATATTGAATAAAGACCTAAGGAAAATGAGGAAGGGAAGCTGACATCTGAAGAAGAGGATTTCCAGGTGGAAATCTTAAAGTATGAAGATGTGATCTAAGAGTGTTTGGGGGACAGCAAGAAGATTGCCCTGGCTGGAACTCAGTGAAAGAAAGGAAGTGTAATGGAAGGTGAGGTTAGAAAGAGAACTGGGGGCCAGATGGTAGATTTTTAGAGGACACAGGATTAAATCAGTGATGACTCCAAGCTTGAGGCCTGGGCAACTAGAAGAAAGCAGCCATGAGTTGAGATCAGAAAGACTCAGGCATTAACTGAGATGGAAAACCTGGAGGAGGACCATACTGTGGGGAGGTGTATATCTTAAGTTCAGTTGGACGTGTTAAACTCACAGAATTTCTTTGGACATGTTAAACTCACAGAATACTATGTTGTGTAAGATATTGTGTAAACTCACAATAAACCATGTTGTGTAAGATATTGGATATGCAAGTCTGAAATTCAGGAGAGAGAGATGAATCATGGAGTTATAAATTTGGGAATCATCAATATAGAGATGACATTTAAAGCCAGGAGATTATATGAAATTGCTTGGGGGAGGGGGGGAATATAGAGAGAATAAAGAAGAGGTTTAAAAAAAAAGGTTTAAGGAACTGAGCCTTTGGGCACTCCAGGATGTTAGGGAGGTCAGTAAGATGTTGAAGAGACAGCAAAGAACAGTGGGGTAAGGAAGCTGAAGGAAAACCAGACAAATATCCTAGAAGCTAAGAGGAGGAAGAATTTATTTCAAGAGAAAAATGCTGCTGAGTCAAAATAAGAGGACTGAAAACTGACCATTGGATTTATCAATGAGGAGGCTGTTGGTGACCTTGACAAAAGCAGTGGTAAAGTTACGGCGGCATATGGAAAGTAGGCAAAAACCTGACTGGAGTAGGTTTGAAAAGGAATGGGAGAAAAAAGTACGTAGATATTTTAAAGTCTTTGAAAAAGTAAATGATCAGTTGCTAAAGGCAGAGTGGAATCAGAGGAGGTTTTGTTTTGTTTGATAAAGATGGGAGGGATTATGTAGAGAGAAGGAAAATTTCTCAAGTTCATCTATAATAAGAGGAAATAAAAAAGATTATATGATCATGAGGTGCAGGTAGGTATTTGTGTTGTAGGAGTTTGCAGGAGGTTGTACGATGTTTATCGGAATGGAAGATGGCAAGATGAGTTATTAGGGGATTAAGAGGAGAAAAGAATGGAATATTTATCCAGGAGAACAGGATACTGAATATATTAGAGAAACATAATTGCCGTGAAGCCTTAAGGGCACTGTTGAGATTATGGTTATGAATTTAAAGTGAGACTAGTCAGCATCTCAATGTATTTTTCTCTGGCTAAATGAAGCTGCAAGGTTGCAGGCCCAGAGGAGCAAAACTGGTTTGATCAGAGTTGTGGGTTAGCCAAAGAAATTCTGTGAAGGGAGGAAAGGGCAAGGGAATTGAAGGTGGAACTGAAGTTGGATTAGGAGGGAAGTGAGGACATGAAGTAGGTGGAGGATAATGAAAAAGTGGTAGAATCATGAGGTCTTGGTGGGTATAAAAGGACTATCTCATAGAGGTGGGATACTAGAGGGAGAGACCTAGAAAGATAGAAGAATGGAATACTTGAAATTGAGATTTTGGCAGGGTTGCAAGTACTGAAAATACTGAACTCCAGGGTTTGACTATGGGTATGAGTCTAAGATAAAGTGAATGACAAGGTATTTGATGGAGAGCAGGTCAAGGTATTGAGAGGGCAGGGTTTCAAGGAACCATATATGCCAGTAGTCCTTAACCTGGGGTCCACGAATGGAATTTGGGGGGTTTGTGAACTGGAACGGGGATAAATGACATCTTTATCTTTACTAATTCTTAACTGAAATTTAACATTTCCTTCAATTATGAATATAGATAACAAACCAATAAAGCAATAGCTGACCCCAATAGAAATTATAGATATTTTCATGTCATGTTACAGTTTTGCAGGTTCTTCAAAATACTATTTACGTTAATCACCATTGTGAAACTGTGATAGTTTTTAGATCCACTGCAGATCTTTTTATTTAAAGTATTAGAAAAAGCCATATGTGTTCTTATATTACATTTTTAAAAATACTTTGATAATGGTATTTCACTACAATGGTTTTCTTTATAATCCTATATATTTTTTCTGTACTTAAAATATTATCCTGAGAAGTAGTTCTTAGGCTTCTTCCCCACTAGATTTCTAAAGGGATCCAGGGCACACACACATAAATTTTAAGAACCTGTGACTTAAGATAGTGAAATCAACAATTATTTCAGGAGTGGTATTGCAGAGAGTGACAGTGATCCAGAAGCTAAAATCTTGAAAGAATGAGGAAAGTGCTTGTGGGTCATTAGGTAGCTACAATAGCAGAGGGAACCTGGTGATGGCATGAGATTAGAAGCTGGCAGGGCCTTTTGTGTTTTGTTTTTGTTTTAGAGGAGGAAGAGAGTGAGAATTGTTTAGAAACGGCAGTAAATCACAAGGATACTTACCCTACCTCCTGGTCCAATAGGAGGCATATAGGAGAGGAAGCAGAGGATCCACCATCCCAGAGGACTGCAGGGAAGAAAGAGTGTCATTTAGAGAGACCCAGGTGTTTGAGCAAGATGAAGTGAACGTTCACAAATGAAGCTGAGCATGAGTTTGAGAAGGCACAATGGAAGTGTTTTAAATGGTGAAAGGGGAGAGGTAGGAGATGGGGTCAGAAAACATGATGCACATAACCAGAGGAGGGATAGAATCCAGGGGATAGGTCTTGGGCTTCTTGTGGGGACTGGCATGTCAGGGAAAGGGGGCGTGATGATTTTCATCCTGATGGCCTGAGGCAGACCGTGTAGAGGTGAGTGGGGATGGTGAAGGACGTGAGAGAGAGCAGGGCTCTTGCTAGGCATGTGCAGATTTCAGGTCCTCCATCACCTAGCGTCCAGCACCTTTCTAATTTCATAATCATTTTCTCCTTTCTTCCCTCGAGCTCCAGTAGCTCCTTGCTGTTTCTCAAATACTGTATGCGTGCTCATACCTCATTGCCTTTGTTGTTATTCCCACTGTCTAATCCGCTCTTTCACAAGATATCTGTTTTACCTGCTCCTTCACTTTGTTCAGGTTTCTGTACAAATGTCACTTTATTAGAGAGGATGTCCCTGACCATCCTAAACAGTTTATGTAATTCTCTCATTTCTGATTGCTCTCTGTCCTCTTACCTTGCTTTTTTTTTCTTAACACTTAACACTGCCTGATTGATCATTTATCTAATGAATGAATCCCTTTTATCTAGGTCCTCCCACCAGAATGTAAGCTCCATCATAGAGCCAGAAGTTTGTTTTGTTCACTACTGTATCTCCACCACCTAGAATAGTACTTGCCATGTGACAGGCACTCAGAACATCCTTAGTGAAAGAATAAGTAAAGTCAGAAACAAACCTCAGAGGATAAGGGAATTATAATATAGTGCCTAATAATCTAAGCTCCAAAGTCAATTGAAGAGTTGGTTACTTAACTTTGCTTAGTCTGTGTTTCTCATCCTTAAAGTGGAGCTGATAGTACTACCTACTTCACAGAGCTATTAAGAATAAGTGAGATAATGTGTATAAACATCCTACAGAGTGCCTAACACTTAAAATCTCTGGAATTTTTCCCAAGTCTTTCCATACTTGAAATTGGAGATTTTGTTTACTTACCACACTACTGAGTCTATTTTCCCCCAGCAACCTGAACTTCTTGTCTGGGACCTTTCAACATCCTCCTGCCCACAGGTTAGCAAGGTATGACTTTAGTGCTCTACCCTTTCTGGGCAGTACTCTCGACCCCACTTCTTACAGTTCTCTCTTACCAAAACTTCTTATACATGCTCTCTTTTCTGTAGGACAATGCTCAGTTTGCTCTCACATTGTTCATCTTCCTGGTAGAGAAATTCATGCTCAGGTATTAGAGTGTGTTAATGGCATATTATGTTATTCCTGTCAGTATTTGCATTTAATTTAGGGACTCATATCCTTAAAGTAAAGCAAACAATGGTGAAAATAATGTGAAGTGACTAAGGCCTGCTTTTTTGTTTTTTGCATTCTTTAGATCATTTGGTGTAGGTGCCTGCTAACTTCATCTATAAGTTAGAGCAACTCTAATTATGTATTATCTTTCTTTCCAAACATGTGGTACTTAACATGAATATCCCCAGACAGAAGCGTAGAGATTTAGATTCAAAGGGACCTTAGAGATTATCTGGACCAGAGATTTTCAGCTTTTTTCTTTTTAAAGCAGCAAGACCCTTTTCTCAAGTGAAATGTTATATGGAAACGTACTATATAGATTAATAAAAGCACAGCTGATTGCTAAACCCAGGAATCTAAGCCCTATAGGTCTCCCTTTGTTGTCTGGGGCAATCCCCTGAGGGCACTTCCCTGGAACCCTTAGGGCTCCCCAGAGTGCTGTTTTAAAACCACTAATTTACACCAACCCTTTCATTTTTCCAGCTGAGGAAATACACCAAGAGAGTTTGTGTTTCACCCAGTGTTACAGGATAAATTAGTTGGATTAAGAGCAGTCCTCACATGTGCCATACTTAAGAAAACACTAATAGACCAGTATGGAAGTTCTTATTTCTAATACAGATAACTTTTACTATCTCATTTCTTTTAATCAACCAACTTTTATTTGGTCTTCATATTACATATGAGACACTTTCTATGGTTATCACTGATACAAATATTTAGAGACATAACCTTTTGCCTTAAAAAAGCAAACAGTATAGTTGGGAAGATAAAATATGCAGTTGAAAAGTTATACCAAATGTAAATATAGCTTCCAGACTTGAGATGTAGCAGAGAAGTGTGACATTAATTAAAAATAAATTAACATAACATAATAAAATTAAAAAAAAATGATACCAATAATAAGCTCTGTCAGAGCTCCGAGGAGGGTGAAGCTACTCCATTTGGGCTAGGGAAGGGTTTAAAAAGGAACTATGGTTGAGCTGAGTAACACTTGGCTATGTAAATAGGTGTAAGGAATATATCATATGAATAAGAGCAGAGCTTTGTGTGAAAAAAGCTCCTTCATTTATCTCTATATAATGTTGGGGAAGTTCTTAACCTCTGAGTCTGTTACTGCATCTGCAAAATGGAGATATATAGGATATATATCAATTAAAGACATATTAATTGGTGTGACATAAACTTTAAAATGTCCATTGTTTATCACAATAGAAATTTATTTCTCCTTCATATCCGTGTCTATGCTGGACAGCTTTCCATGAAGTCAGTCAGGGACCCAGATTGCTTCTCTTTCAGCTTCTGCCTCCCCGAGATAGTTTTTCAGAGAGAATAGAGAATTTTCCTTGGGAAGGTTTTCAGGGGATGAGCTTAAAAGTGGCATATAGTATTCTGCTCATTTTCTATTGGCCAAAACTTAATTACAGAGCTGTCCCTAAACACGAGGATGTAGTTGAGCTGTGTGCACAATTTGAAAAGGAAAAAGGTCTTAGTGAACACATGGAGGTCTCTGCTACCTCACAGAGTTTTGGGGAAGATTGGAGGAAATAATGTATTTGACATGCTTAATACAAGGCATACATGGCATGTAGAAGATTTTAAACATCCTTTTTAAGGTATAGGTAAATTTATATAATGTTTTGCTGGGTATAGATAATCCACTAAATTTCTATTAACATGTGTTTTCACTTCTTTTTGGAGAGGTATCAACTTATTTTTGACTCGTGGTAATGATAATTGATATTTAAAATGATTCTTCTTGCTAAATTCTTTGTTTCTTCTTCTTTTAGCATGGCGTTATTGCTACAGAAGATGAGGAATATTTTATTGAACCATTAAAGAATACCACAGAGGATTCCAAACATTTTAGTTATGAAAATGGCCATCCTCATGTTATTTACAAAAAGTCAACCCTCCAGCAACGGCATCTGTATGATCACTCTCATTGTGGGGTTTCAGGTGAGTGTGTGGCGTTTACAAAGTGTATTGTATTGTATTGCCACTGTCTTTCTTCTGACACCTATGGAAAGGTGAATGATAGAATGATAATGAATTTCCATGAATTAACATGAATTTTCCTAAACAGAATCATAGAGATTTAGATTCAAAGGGACCTTAGAGATTATCTGGATCAGAGATTGTCAGCTTTTTTCTTTTTAAAGCAGCAAGACCCTTTTCTCAAATGAAATGTTATATGGAAATGTACTATATAGATTAATAAAAGCACAGCTGATTGCTAAGCCCAGGAATCTAAGCCCTATGGGTCTCCCTTTGTTGTCTGGGGCATTCCCCTGAGGGGCAATCCCCAGAGTTCTTTTAAAAGATGTCACCTATCCAAATGCCATATGACTTCGCTCATATTTGGAATTTAAGAAACAAAATAAGGAAAAAATGGAAAAAAAAAGACACAAACAAAAATCAGACTCTTAAATACAGGGAACAAACTGGTGGTTGCCAGAGGGGAGGTGGGTGTGGGGGTGGGTAAAATAGATAAAGGGGATTAAGAGCACACTTGTCTTGATGAATGCTGAGTAATATATAGAATTTTTGAATCCTTATGTTCTATACCTGAAACTAATATAACTATATGTTAATTATACTTCAATAAAAAAAGAAAAGAGGAAAAAAAAAACTACCTTCCTTTTCAGTGGGAAAAAAAAAGATGTCACTTATCAATAGTTGGAAGCTCTTTGAAAAGTCCTTAAAATATAAGTCTGTGTAAAATTATTCTTTCTTAGAAGGAGAACAAAACCCCACCCTATTTTATCCAGGTAATAGTTATAATTTTCAAGCACAAATGTTCCATAGTATAATTTTCATTCACAAGTGTTGCCTAGTACTCTGTGCTGTTTGGTTAGCCTGATGTTTTTATGCTAATGGTGAGACATTAGACACTTGTATAAGATTTGAAGAGTCTTAAGGTAATATTCAAAGGCAGTGTTAGGGTACTATAGAGATACATAGCAGGGACAGCAAATCTAGACATTAGTGGACCAAGAAGGCTTCATGGAAGAAGTGACTTCTAAGCTGAGGCCTGAGGGAGAAAGAGAAGGTAGCTGTGGAGAAGTAGAGGGAACAGTGGGTGGAGTGTTCCATATAGAAGAAACAGCATTTACAAAAGTCCTGAATCAAAAAGTAGAATGTCACATTTCAGTCATTGCCAGTTCATAAGAATGGGTTATTAGAATGTGGGCTGGAGGGATGGGGTGAATTTCCTACGGGTGAGGAGTGGACCTGAGAGATGAAACTGAAATGACAAGGAAGGCCAAGACACAAAGGGCTTGTAAACCATATTAAAGAGTTTGTTTATCCAAAGTGTGCTAGAAACCCATTGAAAGGTTTTAAGCAGGAATCACATGATCAGATTTGGGTGTTAGAAGTACTACCCTGGCAGTCCTGTGGAGACTGACTGAGAGAAGAACAAGACTAGAGGTGAGGGGTTAGGAAGCTGTTTAGTCTAAAGATTAGAAAACGTACAGAATAGAGGATATAGCTTGGCATAGTAGAAAGAATATGGGCTTTGGTGTAGCTTTGGACAAATGAACCAACCTCTTTAAATACTTCTTTGAACACACATTAGTTGCTCAAATTGTAGCTATCATTATTACTGAGATGACTGTTTCTAGTATTTAAAGAGCTATTATATTAAAAAAAAAAAGATTGGGGCACCTGGCTGGCTTAGTTGATGGAGCATGCAACTCTTGATCTTGGGATTGTGGGTTTGAGCCCCACATTTGATGTAGAGTTTATTTAAAAATAAAATCTTTAGGGACGCCTGGATGGCTAAGTTGTTAAGCATCTGCCTTTGGCTCAGGTCATGATCCTGGGGTCCTGGGATCGAGCCCCGCATCCGGGCTCCCTGCTCAGCGGGAAGCCTGCTCCTTCCACTCCCACTCCCCCTGCTTGTGTTCCCTCTCTTGCTGTCTCTCTCTCTGTCAAATATATAAATAAAATCTTGAAAAAAATTAAAAAAAAATCTTTAAAGGTGTGCCTGGGTGGCTTAGTCAGTTAAGTGTCTGACTCTTGATTTTGGCTTAGGACGTGGTCTCAGGGTTATGATAGCAAGTCCCAAGATGGGCTCACGCGCTCAGCGGGGAGTCTGCTTAGGATTCTCTCTCTCCCTCTCCCTCTGCCCCTCCCCTGCCTCTCTCTCTCAAAAAAAATTAATAATAATAAATAAATAAAAATAAAATCTTTAAAAAAAATTAAAGATTCGATTTGTTCTGTGTAGTTCTCGTAGGTTGAACCAGGGGCAGGGTATTCCAGTATTTCAGCAGGTTTCAGCTTAATACAAAGAAAAGTTCACCAGCAAGTAATTTTAGAAAAAAAATGGGATGAGTTCAACAGGTAGATTTATAAAAAATAGGATGAGTTATCTTATGAATTAGTGAATGCATCACTGTTTTGTTTATATCCATATGCTTCTTGGGCTACTTTTCTTCTGCTTCAAGTTTAAGTGTTCTTTGGAGTTCATTCTTCAAGTGACTGTTCTCATTCTACATACTCTCTTCTTGAGTAATCTCTGGGACATCCTTGTTGATGAAGAGTAATTGGTACTAGAAAAAGGCCACTTCAAGTGAAGCTGCTTAAGGCATGAAATAAAATTTCATAGGAAACAATGAAAAATATTTTGATGGGTCTTTGCATTGAGTAATGAAACTAAACATTATGGAAATAGTTTAATTTATCTTGTATTTAACAAATTTAGGCTATAAGTACAACTTTTTTTTTTTAAAGGTTTTATTTATTTATTTGACAGAGAGACACAGCGAGAGAAGGAACACAAGCAGGGGGAGTGGGAGTGAGAGAAGCAGGCTTCCCGCGGAGCAGGTAGCCTGATGCGGGGCTCGATCCCAGGACCCCGGGATCATGACCTGAGCCGAAGGCAGATGCTTAACCACTGAGCCACCCAGGCGCCCCTATAAGTACAACTTTATATAAATTCTTGAAAAACTAGGATTCAAATATTTAGTTGTTTATTGCAATATAATTTTCCCATCATTTTTTCCATAACATGACATCCTTCACTTCATGATCATAAAAATCACTTTTTGCAAAAATATTTAAAGATTTCATTGTATTCTGAAAGATAACTCTTAACCTTAGATATTCAAATTATCCTCTTTTGAAGTGCCTATCTTATTACTGGTCTTACTGAGGCAGATCCTTCTTTTCCAAAGGTTGAGGCATGAATCAAATAGATGAGCAAATCTACTCTTATTGCTAACATAAAATTCTGCCCTTGTTGGGGAAGATTTTCTTCTTTTACAGTCTCTCGCCCTGGATTACTGTGCTATTTGCAAAAAATAAAGCAGGTGAATGAGATATTCTTGAATGGCTGAAAAATCTTGAATGAATTACTATGACTATTTCCTCACTTTTAACCTATTCACTAGTCATTTCTGTTACCTTTAACACCAGTCCATTTAGTTCAGACCCTTGTTATCTCTTGCCTGCACCACTGTAATGACTTTCTAACTGGGGTCTTCCTGTCTTCAGCTTTGTTTTTGTCTTTAGTGGGCTGTCTCCTACATCTGGGTGTATTATATTTCCTTCTTTCCTTCCTCCCTTCCTTTCTCTTTTTCTCTCTTTCTTTCAAGATTTTATTTATTCATTTGAGAAAGAGACAGAGAGAGTACAAGCAGGGGGAGAGGCAGAGGGAGAGGGAGAAACAGGCTCACCACTGAGCAGGGAGCCCGATGCGGGACTGAATCCCAGGACTCTGGGATCATGACCTGAGCCGAAGGCAGACGCTTAACCAGCTGAGCCACCCAGGTGCCCTATATTATATACTTTCAAACGTTTCACTGGCTTCCCAAGAGTGGAAAATCAGTAGTAGTTCCCTAAGTTCTATAGGAATATCACTAAAAAAAAGTATTTTATGTTTAATAAGTTTGGGAAATGTCTGGTTAAGATCTTAATTAGGATACTATTTTGACAGCATAATTCAAGTGACATGTGCATTTATAGGTGTTAATTGCCAGTTAACCTGTTATTGGGAACTCAATTTTATATCAAAATATAAGATAGAAAAACTCTTTTGAGAGTGGGCATATTTATCTCATATTCAGATATAAATTTTCCCATTCTAATTAGATTATGTTATCAATTTCAAAATAAATAATAAAAAATGTCTGTTTTTTGTAGAAAATTTAGAAAATATGGGTAAAAAGAAAAAAAAAGGAAATGAAAGTTGCTCTTTTACCACTATCCAGGGATAACTGAATGCTCTTGTCCATTGCTGTAGATATTATCATGTCTCTATACATGTATTGTTTACTTAAGTATTTATTAAATAAATATTTATATAGCACGTATGTGTCAGGCTATTCTAGGTGTTGGGATGCAGCAATAAATAAAACAAGAAAAGTCTCTGCTCCCATGAAGCTTATATTCTAATGAAGAGAGTTAATTAAAAAAAGCAGTCAAGCCAACAAGTAAATACATGGCCATCTATCAAGAAGTAATAAGTGCTACTAGTGAAAAATAAAGCAGGTCAATGCAATAATTTTGAATGACTGTATATATTAAAAATATTTTGAGACTGGGGCGCCTGGGTAGCTCAGTCATTAAGCGTCTGCCTTCAGCTCAGGTCATGATCCCAGGGTGCTGGGATCGAGCCCTGCATCGGGCTCCCTGCTCCGCGGGAAGCCTGCTTCTCCCTCTCTCACTCCCTCTGCTTGTGTTCCCTCTGTCGCTGTGTCTCTCTCTGTCAAATAAATAAATAAAATCTTAAAAAAAATTTTTTTTTGAGACTGATCAAAAATTTAAGATCTTATTTCAGATGATAAAGAGATCTATGTATTTGGTTTTGGGGAAAAGTTCTTTATTGTATATGTTTATGGAAGAATGTTTTCTTTGACATTCTAAAGTCTATCCAAAATTAAATTGAGCATATGTAGTAAGTATCATTTGAATAACTACTAATCTTTGTTTTGAAACAAGTCAGTTGTGTGTTCTATTTTAGACTAAACAGTATATTAGTTACAGATCATTAAGCTTAACATTAAGCAGTCAATTGACGATTACAGAATGTAGATATTGTTTCGTAACGATGCAATCATGCTGGATTAATTTAATTTTAAAAGTGAAACCAGATATCTTGATTACACTTATTCATTGTGTGTGTATTTTATCTATCTATCTATCTCAGACTACAAATTCTTTGCGTGTAAGACTCTTTCCATTTATGAATGTCCATCAAAGACATTATATATACATTTATCTGATGGAGTGATAACCAAGCAAACCAACAATTTAAAAAGCTAAAAGTCTGAAATTTATGAAAATGATGATAACAGTAGCTACTTTATATTGAGTGTTATCTAATGAGAAACACCATTGTGGTGTTTATTTTGCCCAATCAAGTCTAATTCTTTTCACAAATACTTTAAATAAATATAAGGAGAAATTGAATGGATCAGAGGAGTGAAAATGATCAAAATAATGGAAATCAAATCCGATATTTAGACATTTAGGCTGTCCATCCAGAGGAAGGGAAAACTAGGCATGATTTGAATACATGGGTGGTTTTATGATCTTGACAGACTGAGCAAAAAAAAAAAATTAGAATTATGTTAATGCAGAAAGGATTTTGACCATTTCATAACAATATTACCATAAACTCAGTGGCTTAAGCAATATACTTTTATTATCTCACAGTTTCTGTGGAACAGCAGTTGTACATGAATGAGCTAATTGACTTAGCCTCAGTCAGGACTGGGTTCTCATCTGGAGTCTTGACTGACGAAGAATCTACCTTCGTATTCCCATGGTTGTTGGCAACATTCAGTTCTTTGCTATTAAAAGACTGAAAGCTTTAGTTTGGGGCTGGTTGTCTGCCAGAGGCCGTCTGTAGCTCCTTGCCATGTACAGTTCACCAAATTGGTTGCTTACTTCCTTAAAGCCAGCAAGGGAAAGGCTCTAGTAAGAAAGATGTTACAATATTATGTAACATAATTATGTACTCATATATGTAATCGTGTATATCCCTTTATCTTTGTTGTATTCTCTTGGTTAGAAGCAAGATACAGGTCCCACCCACATTAAAGGGGAAGAGATCACATGAAGTGTAAACATCGGGAGGTCATGGGGGGCCACCTTAAGAGTCTGTCTGGAATAAGGGAATACTTACTGGCTGTCTAGAAGTTATACTATTGGGAAATAAGAAGTAACATGTCTCTGCCTCTCTTGGCCTTTAGGAATAAAAATACTCAATTTATATGAGCTTCAAAAATATTTTACTGGTATCTGTCATAGTCATTTCTATCTCTTATTTCTTAAAATTTATAACTTTTACCAAAGTAATTTTTAAAGGGTAAACACTAAAGAAATTAGAAAAATAATAGAGAATACTGCCAGTTTCTGTCAATTATATTATAAAAATTAAAATGATTCTTCCTCACTAAATTTTTAATAAGTAGAGGTTAGAAAGATCGTACAGATATGAAAGTAAGGTATGCAGAGGAATTATACTCATTCAAGTTTATTAAATAAAGATGAATATAAATGAGACAAGTGTTTACAAATGCCGTAGTACTAAAAGGTTTTCTCTGTACTGAAGGGCCAACTGTTAGAAAACAAAGGATTAAACTGCAATCCAGAGTAAAATGTGGTTTAAAGGAATTCCTGCTGTAATCATAATCTTTCAACTCTCATTGTAGCACCATTTACCTCTGGGTTTTAGAAGAGTAATACTTTGGGTACTCTGTTAGTATAAATAGTTGTATATCGCAAAACTAAATGAAAAACTTAATTCACAGCCTTTTAGAATTGAGATTTCTAGAGCAGTAGAATTGCTCTAATTGAGATAGTTTAATAAAAGATCTTACTTTAAAATAAATGCTCAGAGGCATTTTAGGAATAGGATTTTGGGGGTACCTGGCTGGCTCAGTTGTTATAGCATGTGACTCTTGCTATAACAAGAGGTGGTGAGTTCAAGCCCCATGATGGGCATAGAGCTTACTTAAAAAAAAAGTAACAGATTTTTGCAATATTGATGTTCTTCATCAGAACTGTCTTAGGGTGTATAGAAAGTTAATGCTCTTGTTTTTAAAAAAGCTTTATGAAGTACATATTCTATATTTAAAAATATTATGACATAATTGGTCATTGGAGTAATATGAAATGATTATTTAAAAAATATTTTGGGCGCCTGGGTGGCTCAGTTGTTAAGCGTCTGCCTTCGGCTCAGGTCATGATCCCAGGGTCCTGGGATCGAGTCCCACATTGGGCTCCCTCCTCGGGGGGAAGCCTGCTTCTCCCTCTCCCACTCCCACTGCTTGTGTTCCTGCTCTTGCTATCTCTGTCTCTGTCAAATAAATAAAATCTTTAAAATATATGTATATTTTTTAATTAAATAATTCATTAGGCTTATTTTTTGTTATGAGTAGCTGAATGTTATTAATGTTTAATTTGCTTCAGATAAAATGACTATTTTGAATACTTTAAAGAGTTTAATTTTCTTACTACTACATTTCCTTCTCCCCTCTCTTCACTGAAAAATCTTAATACTTTAGGCAATTTATGAGGAGCATGTCTATATGAAAGATTTAAAAATAAGTAAGCTTAATTGGTGAACTTATCTGAACTAGTTAATTATTTTTATTGTAGACCTCATCAGAAGTGGCAAACCTTGGTGGCCGAATGACACATCTACTTTTCCTTCTTCACTACCAATTAATGGCACGCATATCCGCCACAGACAGAAGAGATCAGTAAGCATTGAGCGGTTTGTGGAGACACTGGTAGTGGCAGACAAAATGATGGTGGGCTACCATGGCCGCAAAGACATTGAACATTACATTTTGAGTGTGATGAATATTGTAAGTTTGATGCCTCTCTATAATATTTTAACTTAATAATTTGTGGTTTTGACTAAGGTCATGGATTTTTAGTGTGAATTAATGATTTTAAGAATTTACTCATCTAAAATGAGAAAGAATTAATATATTAATGTTTCAGTTCCATAGGAAATAAATTTAAAGGTGACCTTACTGTTCATTTTAGGTAATATGACTTTTTGAATGGGTCATATTAAATCTTGTTTAAAAGGTTTTCTTTAACTTGAAACATCAGCTCACCCTCTTCATTACTATGTTGTAGCTCAGTTTTAGGAGAAAATATTTCTTGAGGTAGATTTGTATAAAAATCTTTTATGGAGGCATCTTGAGGGTAGAATTCTAAGTGATATGAGATAAAATAATATCTTTTTATATACAAAGTGGTTTAATTTATGAAAAATTGTTTTACCATTCTTTAAAAAAATATTAAACAATCAGCCTATGATTTTTGTCTGACTTTGTGTCTTTTCTTATTTTCTGGAGGTCAGGTTGCCAAACTTTACCGTGATTCCAGCCTAGGAAACGTTGTGAATATTATAGTGGCCCGCTTAATTGTTCTTACAGAAGATCAGGTAAGAATGAGTTAGTTTAGAAAACTAAAACCCTTAACAGACAGGCTGTAGAATTATGTATTATAAAATAAAGTATTTTATTATTGATCCTTTTAGGAAGTTCTAGTTGAATATGATTTTCACCACTAAGTATTTAATATTTTAAGCAAATTTTAAGTACTTTATAAGAATATACCTCCTATTCATGTTAAGGCTCTATATATGTATATTAGCTATATGTTTCAGTATAAAGATGAGTATTTGTTTGGCAGATCTAATAATAGTGGTTTTGGTTGCTGAGAATCACATATATTCACATGATCATTAAAGCTGGAACTGGAAAGAATATTCAGTAGTACACTAAATTAACTCTAGGTCAGATATTACAGAGATAAAAATTGGCAAGAGATTATTCCTAGAAACCACTGCTTCTAATTATAGTCCCACTTTAGTTCTTCAAAAGTTTTAACAACTGACCTTAGTAATTTGTTTGGAACATTTCTGGTATGCATGTTGTATTGCAGCCAAACTTGGAGATAAACCACCATGCAGACAAGTCCCTCGATAGCTTCTGTAAATGGCAGAAATCCATTCTCTCTCACCAAAGTGATGGAAACACCATTCCAGAAAATGGGATTGCCCACCACGATAATGCTGTTCTTATTACTAGGTATGGTTTGTTGCAAATATTTTATCTTTGATTGTTGTGTTTAATATTTTGACTATATTTTGTTCTATCTAAAGTCTCATTCAGGTAATGAATATATTGAAAGCAAATGGTAATTTGTTAATCACCAGTGAGAAGGAATATATTACACTATTATTGTGTTTGCATCAAATGAACCGAGTAAGAAAAAAGAACACATTTAGAGTTGACTTAGAAATGTAATAAACATCTTTCCTTCAACTAATATCTATTCATAAGGTTTAATTGGAAGCACATGTATGTTTTGTTAATTGAACAAAATACATAATAAAACAAAGATTAAAAAGTATGGGATTATAATTGAGTCATCACTCTTGGTTATAAAATACATTAATTATTCTTACCTCCAAATTTTTAAAAGGGAGGACATCAATAGTTACACAATTTACTTAGATGAATGTTTATTTAATTAAAAATGTTTTAATTAAGGTATAAATATAAAGAAGCACATTTATTACATTATATGTTGAATAGCTTGCTTCTCAGGGTAAAATTATTATTTGATGATAATGCAATTAATTCATGTTTTTCTTTCCAGTTTTACATAACTTGTTCAGATCCTTTTATTCCTTACTCTCCAACAAGAATTCTGTGGAGTAGATACCATTATTACTTTTCCCATCTAAAAAGTGAGGAAACTAGTTTAAAATACTTAAATTGCTCAAGCAAGTGAAAGTGCAGGTCTCAAACCCTGATAATCCTGTCTTCTATGACTGTGCTATCTTAGACTACTGTCTTAGTTTTTTTATACCTTAATTATGACTGGTTAGAAGCATGCTTAAATCATTTTAAGATGAACTTGTCCTTTGACCTCTTATCAGTATTTAAAAATGAAAAAAAAACAATAAGCAAAATGGAAGCATTATTCTCTCTTGGTGAAATGAAATAGCCTTTGTTGTCTTGATTATTTCTTTTAATTTGCAAGATAGTACTTAACAATGGTGTGCCCATTGACTCTACATTAAACTATATGGCGGGAATGTAAAGTTACGTGGCATCAGAATCTTGAGATCCTGGGAGATAATGTGAATTTAGCTTTTTAAAAAATGTTCCTGTTAACTAAGTTGTAGAGTTAAAGCTTCTCGGTTTATTTATTTTTTCAGTTATAATTACTTTAATTGACTTCATCTACCTGGCACTGTAAGCTAGAAAAGTTTGTTTATGACATACTTGCAAATAAAAACAACATTGTATGGGTTCTGTATTCATATGTGTTGACATGTCAGTCTGATAAATTCTGTAATTCCTCAGAGTCTTGTGGTCTGGAATGATTCCCAAATATATTTGAGGAGTTAAAAATATACTAAGAATTGTGCAAATATAGAAACCTTTGTATAAAAATATATATGTGGATACGATTAGTGTCAATGAAATTACTACAGGAGAATGTTTTTTATATATGGTTAGCAAAATGATCACAGATAATTTACATTGGCTTCTGTGTTTATATTTATAAAGTCCAACTCTCCCCAAAAAGGCAATGCCCACTGGGCTCCTGGTGCTTTATATTTTTGTTATTGTATGTGCATTCAATTTTTAGCTTTTGCATCAAATGACAATAGCTATACCAACAGTGCACGTTTATAAGTATTTGAGTCGTGAAATATATCTGGGCAGTTAGCCATCTTTTCTTTGCACTGGCTACAATATTCAGCTGTCTTGTTCCTCTGAATTGGCCCAGATATTTTTCTGATCCTCTGCAGAGTCCTTCCTTGTTTCTATAAGCTATTTTGAATGCCTTTTTGATGCCTGAGGTTTGAACATAAAATTTTCTTTTTAAACTTGTCTCCTAATGGTCAGACTAGTACTAGAAATGATCTCAGGATTTAATAGGACAGTACTTTGAAGAATTCATATATCATACCATTTTCAATTAGTTATATAGTGGAGGCTAGAAAAGTATCTCTTTGGGGCAGCATAGAGTGCCTTTTTGAATTGTTATAGTCTCAAAGTAACTTTGAGCTTATTTAAACGTCTACTTATTTAAAAGTCTAATCGTCTTTGAATTATTAAGGCCATGGAGTGACATCTAAATCTGATGAATATCATCTCTAATATTTAGAGTTTTTGTTGGGTGGTTTACCATCTTGATTCTTCCTTATATACTTTTAATTTGTGAAATTGAATATATCTTTAAATCATACTGCTACTTTTAGTAAAAATTCAAATAATTTTTATAGATGCTCATATATTAACGCTTTTCATTGCTTCATGTAACTCACTCATTAACATATTCAGGATTATGACTTCACCATTTATAGGTAAGTTCATGCTTGAAATGTCAGCTCACTAGGGAGAATGTATAATGTGTTTACTGAGAATTCCAGAGAAAAATTGATGGATATGTTTATCTCCACTAGGCCAAATTTTATCTCAGGGATTTAAATGTTTTAAGCAGAAAACCATTTGGAACTGTAGTTACTTAGGTAATAATAGTTGCTTTTGAAAAAATGAAAGTATAAAAACTTAAAATACTATCTCCTCTTAGCAAATAATATTTTATTTTTTTATAATGATATAAATTTAAAGCAAACTGTGCTCTACAAAGCTATGAGATCACTGTGACTAGACAGAAATAAATAAGCAGTATAAAAAATTTAAAATTCTGGGGGCGCCTGGGTGGCTTAGTCAGTTGAGCATCTGACTTGATTTTGGCTCTGGTCATGATCTCAGGGTCGTGAGATTGAGCCCCGTGTGGGGCTCCACGCTGAATGAGGAGTCTGCTTAAGATTCTCTCTCCTTCTCCCTCTGCCCTGGTCCACTCATACACTCCATACACTGTCTCTAAAAAAAAAGTTAATTAATTAAAAAAAATTTTTAAATTTTATTTTATCTGGTATAAAAACTACTGCATTAACACCAAAGAGTATATTAAAAACTATTTATATACACACATATATTTTAATTTTTATATACATTTATTTTTATACATAAGTGTTTGTGTATGTGTATATAATGAACATCTGTTATATACCAGCTAGCTTTATCAAATCTTTTTTTAAACATTGAAGTATAATTGACAAAGTTGTATATACTTTAAGTGTACAATGTGATGACTTAGTGTGCCTAGATGTTCATATATCTCCCCAGATTTTGAAAGTTCTCAACCATTATTTCCTTAAATAAGCTTTTTGCCCCTTTCTCTCTCTCTTCTTCTTGGACTCCCATGATGCTAATATTACTTCATTTGGTGATGTTCTATAATTTAGGTAGGCTTTCTTCATTGTTTTGTTTGTTTTTTCTTTTAGTGGGTAGTATCAAATGATTTGTTTCCAAGTTCATGGTTTCTTTCTTTTGCTTGGCATGTCTGTTGTTGTTCTCTATTGCATTTTTTAATTTCATTCATTTTATTCTTCAGCTTCAGAATTTCTAATGGTTCTTTTATATAATTTTGATCTCCCTTTTGAATTTATTATTTTATTCACATATTCTTTTCCTGATATCATTGAGTTGTGGATCTGGGTTCTTTAGTAGCTTGCCGAACTTTTTAGGAACAATTATTTTGAATTATTTGTCTGTCAATTTGTAGATTTCCATTCTTTGCATTCAGTTACTGGAAAATCATTGTATTCCTTTGGTGGTGTCATGTTTTCTTGATTTTTCATCTTTCTATAGCTTTGTGTTGATGTCTGTGCATTTGATGAAATAGTCACCCCTTCCAGATTTTATGGAATGGTTTTGGTAGAGAAAGATCTTCATCTGTGGACATAAGAGTGCTGGCTGGGTTGAGTATGGTGTTTCTAGCTCTGGAAAAGTTCCAGCAATGTAGTCTCTATTCACCTTTGTCAGCTGAGATTAGCCTTAGTGAAGATTTCAGAGTTCCTCAATGGTCAAGGCTGCATTTGTCTGCACCAGCAGTAAAGGCAGTTGGGGACCACCTGATCTCTTTTTCTTTCATGGGGGATGTCATGATGGAGGGGATTTCTCTTGAAGCAGGGTCCAGCTTGCAAGTACCCACATGAGTGTTGGTAGTACTGATGTCTGATATGTGGGGACATTTGGTAATATGACACTATATAAGTAGGTCAAGAACTGATTAATATTTTGTATTCGAAACTCTAATAAACAGAATTTAAGAAGATAAAATAGAACTGTATATATACACTTAAAAAGTTACACATGTTGGGGCACCTGAGTGGCTCAGTTGGTTAAGCATTTGCCTTCTCGGGGAAGGCATCGAGCCCCATGTCTGGCTCTCTGTTCAGCAGGGAGTTTGCTTCTCCTTCTCCCTCTGCCTGCTATTCCCCCTGCTTGTGCTTTCTCCCTCTCTCTCTGTCTGTCAAATAAATAAATAAAATCTTTTTTTTTTTAAAGATTTTATTTATTTATTTGAGAGAGAGAATGAGATAGAGAGCATGAGAGGGAGCAGGGTCAGAGAGAGAGGCAGACTCCCTGCTGAGCAGGGAGCCCGATGTGGGACTTGATCCTGGGACTCCAGGATCATGACCTGAGCCGAAGGCAGTCGCTTAACCAACTGAGCCACCCAGGCGCCCCAAATAAATAAGATCTTTTAAAAAAAAGTTACGCATGTTACAAAACTTTCATATTATTCCAATTAAACTTTGTATTGAGAAACTGTAAATTAATGGGTACTTAGAAATACGTATCTACAATTTGACAGATTTAAAAATTATTTATATTCCCACATGAAGTTAGGAAGTATTCACCAAATTTAAAGTCAAGACAATTTCTTTTTTCTTTTTTTAAATATCTTTAAGATTTTATTTATTTATTTATTTATTTATTTATTTATTTATTTATTTAAAAGATTTTATTTATTTATTTGACAGAGAGAGAGACAGTGAGAGAGGGAACACAAGCAGGGGGAGTGGGAGAGGGAGAAGCAGGCTTCCTGCGGAGCAGGGAGCCCGATGCGGGGCTCGATTCCAGGACCCTGGGATCATGACCTGAGCCGAAGGCAGACGCTTAACGACTGAGCCACCCAGGCGCCCAAGATTTTATTT